AAAATTATCAAAGGACGAATTTACAGGAATATTAGTGTTTTGAGGTATCAAAGGCTGACTTCCACCTGCTTGACTCATGGGTTGACTCATGGGTTGACTCATGATGATTATCTTGAAATTTTTCCTGAAGGGGATGAAAAAATTTAAGGCGTCTTTATATAGAGAATGTAAACGATGGAGCGATCATGACACATTCTTGTTGTTTTTGAATTTTTTTTAGTAACGTATTTGAAATTGAAGTTTTGATAAATACGTCATGAAAAATGCACAAGAAATAATTATAGTTAAAATCCTAGTATTGACAATAGTTGAGGGCGGAATTTTGACTATATTGACGCGTTAAATGATTAGAACACTATATGACTGCGCCCTCGATTAGTTACGACGTTAAAACCACAGTTAACCGTTATTGTTTAGCACAATGAGTACGTATCTAAGGCAATGAAATTAAAATAGGTTGAAGTATTCGTTTTTGTATTTTTTTGCATAGATCTCCAAGTAAGGTTTCCTAAATAGGTTGTGGCTTATCTCCTAAAAAGTTGTGGGTTAATTTTTGAAGTTCTTTTTTGATACATTACTAATATAATCTATGCAATGTGTAGATCAAATACCAATACATTGAATTAACTTCACAGCTGTCCTCCAAATAAGGCCATTTATTTACAGTCTAAACAACGCGCATGCATAGACTTTATTTCTAAAATAACATCATGGGGAGCTCAAAAATAGATTTTTATTAATCTATTTTTGGCAGCACTCAATCGAGAAACGGTTCGGTAATATCAGTCCGACTGAGTTTCGAAATAACTTATCATACAAAAATAATCAGTTACTATTTTTGTAACGTATTTACGCGAAATAACCCCAATGGGCGTTATTTCAAGACCAATAGTTTGAAGAGAGCTCATAATTAATTTATCTGAGTGCGAATCATAATTTTATTAAAAGCCTTTGGGCTAAATTAATGATGATTAGCTCTCTTTAAACAATGTGTCCCGAAATAACGCCCATGGACGCAAATACGGAAAGTCGATTATAGTAAAACATTGAATTGTCTTAGATATAATTCGGCTTTATTTGTTTGTATATCATGAGGAATGTCAAGGTAAAGTAAATACGTAATTCTTGATCAAAAATATGCATTCTTATATTTTCAAATTAAGTATGTAGTTTCTTTTTGGGGTACAATACGCTTCTCCGATAGCTATTTACCCAATGTCATGCAGAGCAACAATTTAGCATTCATTAATTACAAGTAGATATTGAGATATTGTTAGTGAATTTCCATTTTATGTGATGTCGAATAACCATCAAGAAAATGAGACGTAACCATTAGTGATTGTTTATGTATAGTACGGGCTTCGACAGAGTACCGTATTTCATTGACAGCATCCACTTAACTTGGATCTCTTACAGTATATTTGACCTCTTCAACAATATTGTAAATTCTCGAAATAACGGGTATCTACGCGTTATTTCGAATACGCCCATGGGCGTTGTTTTAAAATAAAAGATTAGTTTTTTAATCGTGAAGAATTTTCTCGATTAACATAATAAGCAAGATTTCTGCAGTGATAATGAGAGAGTTTTTTTGTCTTATTAGTCAATCTTCACGTTTGACTAACATAATAAAATTTTCTACACGCGATAACCGTGAAAATCTTTCACGGTTATCACGTGCAAGTATTTATTATGAAAGTTAAAAAAAAATACTATGCAAGCAGAGATGGCCCAAATCATCCAAACAACAAATGACTAGTCATTGGGTCATTTCGAAGCCTAAATGACTTAGAAGGTCATTTAACATGTGTTAATTAATCGTCTTATAACTTTTAACCAATCAGAATTGGCAATCTACGATCATCGATTTTTTATAAGCAATTCGACCAATAAAATTATTATGACCTGAATGACTTGGTGTCATTCGAATTTTGGTAAAATGACCAGGTCATTTACCATCCCTGAAACAGTTTTTCAAAATCAATATATTTTAATCCCTTATGAAATATAATTATGGGTATTCTGTCTTTGCTGCTCTGTGCAAATATCTAAACATGATGCAGATTTCAAACGTATCGACAAAATGTGCCGATAAATCCCTTTAATTGTAGTCTTTTTGTTCTTTTCTTCTAACATTACATCCTATATACGCATACATGGGTGCCTAAATTATTTTTGGCTTGCCGCAAATAAAAATATCGAAAATATTTTCTGATGTTATTATTATGCATTTGTGCCTAAAATATAGTATACGTATCATTTCATCGACGATCACTTCACCGAGCACAGCGTAAGGAGTAAATATTGAACAATAATTATTAATCATCAAACAATCGTTAAATATTAATCATCGCTTTGTGTAATGAACAGCCCTAACAAAATCAGTCAAAAAATTTCTCAGATCACGTGAAATGCTAAAACAACCAATCAAAATTTGATATCAGGTGTAACGTAAAAAAAATGCAAAAAAACGAAAACAATCCATTCGTAACTCAAAATTTTGCCTACGAAACTGCCTACTAGGTACTAACAAAAACTTTTCCTTGCGGAAATTACAGCCCTCTAACCTAACTTACTAGCAAGACCCTAACCTAAAGTAATCGCAAACACTTTTTTTTTGGTGAAAAAAAATTATTGCCTTTAAATAAGATCACATGATGTGCGAAATTTTTTAGACTGGGATTACTAGTCTTATATGTGCAATGGGGTGTTCGGCGAAGTGATTGTCGATGAAATGATAAGTATCCATTATACACGAGTGCGGCGTGCGAACAGACTAAAACTTTCTATATTTCCGTTTTGATACAATTTTTATCTCTTAAACCGTTTCTCCTGCAAATTTGCCCTGAATTTTTTTAAATAAATACTGTATATTTAAGATAAAATTTTAAATATTAATTTTAACAGTATAGTTTCTAAATAAAATATATATTTTAAGATCTGATTTATTAAATTTTGTTAAGAAAAATTTTTTAAAATTATTAAAAAATCTTTGAGTAATAAAAATTTAAAGTTTATGTTTTGAAATTTTTATTATAAAATTTTCTTTAAATTTTTTAAAATTTTATATGCTTTCGACTATATAGAAATTTTTTACTTTTAATGCAAGTCTATTTTTTTTACAAGTAAATTACTTGTAAGTTAATAATGAAAGTCGTCATCCTTTATATAAACTTCAATATTGTTTTAAGAATTATATTTTTAATATTAATATTTAGAAAGTTTACCAAAAAAATTGTAAATTATTTTTTAATTAAATTTTGTTATAAATTTATTTATAAACAACTTAAATTTTTTTGCCTTATAATATAAATATAAATACTATATAAATATAATCCTTATTTTCAAATAGTATTATTTAAATATTTTAAATATTAAAAAAAAATAGATCAGAACTATTTTTATAGTTAAATTCAGGGCAAATTTACCCTGATTTTTAAACGGTTTAAGTTATAAACTTCCGGCACCATATAATGAATTTTTTTCGGAATTGAATTTTAGGAAATTTATGACGGACATTACAGATCTTATGCACAAAACTTCTTTGAAGAATCATCCAGGGTGGCCCCAAAATGCAGTGATGTAACTTATAGTGCAACAAGGCTAAAATTACACAAAATTTTACTAATGCTAATGAAACTATAACTGCCTATTAAAGCTGAAGTATTCCTGACCAATTTGATTACGTATAACGATAAAAGTAGGCCTAATTTCCTGGTTTGGATTCAAAAAATCAATTTCCGGCTAAATTAGAATATTGAAGTCGTCAGCCTAAATTAAGCTAATGCAGGCAAACTGTCTAAGTCACAGCACTTTTGAATTCTTCTAAGGACAATATTATCAGTTATGCAGTTTAAATCCATAGTTGAATCAGGCTGAACTATTTTTTCGTCTTTGCTTAAGTTGTTTATTAGATGCGAGATACGAAGCCCTTTGGTATGCCTCAAAAACATAAAAGTCAGTATAGGGAATTATAAGAAATTTACTTATTAGCGTAGGCTACAAAATAAATTGAGTGGAGGTACATAGAAATTTAGGTTAGAATGTTGGCTTTAGGAGCTATATCATTTACTAAATGTAAAATTCTATTTCCGTCATCTTTAATTAGTGTACTAAGAACAGGAGGAACGTAGGTGTTACACAACTAATCCTTCACCCAGTGTGCAGCATATAAAAAAATTATTTCCCAATACCAGATCATTCCGCTAGTACATGTTATGATTATAATCCAACACCATTTTATTATAATCATAACATGTACTAGCGGAATGGTCAGAAATTGTAAAATAATTTTTTTATATTCTGCACGTTTCCTCCTGTTGCACTAAGGTCAGTTTAACCATTATTAATTTTCGAATATCATCTTCGGATTCAATGGCATCTGTTAAAGCCAGGTGCCATCACGAGACTTTCCGTTGCATACGGATCGGCTAGACGAAGAAAAAAGAGTAAAAAAATCGAAAATACAAGAAACGAATGTCTAAACCTATTTTGGTGCATTAAGAAAAAAATGTCAAAGAAACGGTCTTATCCATAAGGGTCTTCTAACCTAACCCACACGGGATCTAATCTGACACGTTAATTAAATGTCATAATGGCACCTGGCTTTAATAGTCACCCTTTTTTAGAGGTCTTGGAGTATTTTATGTATCACGCAATTTTAAATTTACAGATCGATTAAAAATCAGATTCACACATACCTTGATCAAGTTCTTTATAAGTTTAATTAGTTTATTCATCACAAGTTTGAATCAAGTTTGTCACAAATTTAAAAATCAGGCAATGGGTGATTAATCTAACCATATTAATGATATCGTGAGATCATAGGGATCACAAAGACGTAATGCACACCCTTTTTAAGCTATTTAATGTGTAACAATAAATAAAAAAAGATTATTATATATAAATGATACAAATATAAATATATCGATATATCAATAGATCAAAAATATTAAAAAAAAATATTGCGATTATTATTTGATAAATGTGTGCTCAAGAAAATGGACTCATTCACTTTCGCCATCATCGCAGCAGCAGCCACGTTCAGCGCGGGAGCTTTGTTGTATGAAGTTCAATCGAATTTAGTTTATCCCGCAAAACAACATCATGAAGTAAATTGTTAAAATAATTGAATACTTTTACATGGAATCACTGATTTATGAAGTTTTAATTAGGTAGCACCTCTAATTTTGGAAGACGGAATTCCATTCAAAGAAGCTACATTGATGACGAGTGACAATATTAAAATTCGAACATATGTTTGCAAACCTATTAATGAGAAAGAAGCTCGAGAAAGACCAACAATATTATTTTTTCATGTACGTAAAATTTTAACATGGTTAATTCTTACTGTCTCACTGATGTATTAATTAGGTTCGTTTGTAATTTTATAGGGAAATCGCGGAAATACAGTTTAGTATCTTTATGTGATGTGGTAGAACTTTTGAACATGTATAAATTAATCGTAAATTTTATCATCATTAACGTTAATAGGGTTATCAATCTAAGGCCATTTCTAAATTTTACCGTGAATTAAAGTGCAATGTTGTTTTACCTTCTTATAGAGGGTAAGAATAACCCATTTTCTTACGATTTGTGTTGTTATTTGAGCAAATTTTTTCATTCTCTTAACATTTATTTGTAGATACGGTCATAGCGAAGGTAAACCTACTGAGGCAGGTATCAAGATTGACGCACAGGTAATATATATATATATACATAGCGAGACAGCATAAATCAATACGCTTTATATAAACGTGAAAATTTTATTATATCTTACACGAAAACAAATAATATAGTTGGACAAAATGATATGAAATTAAATTGTTAAAGCTTTTAATTAAATATAATAATTTGAACGTTTAATTTAGCCAAACTGTAATTATGTTGATAAAAAATATTTTGGCTAAAATACTTTTTTAAATTAAATTAAATTTGAATTACTGGTTGTATTTGAAAAAGTTAATTTGTTGAGTTATGCTGTCCTTCATTATATATATATACAAAATTTATATTCATAACACTGATGTTATATAACACCTATATTCATGATTGTATTAAAATTGGAGTGTTAGATTAGGGAATTATATAGTTTAATAATAAGTTGTTATATAACATGGTGTTAAATATAAGTTTCTATATATATATATGGTTAATGTCAGATGAGCTCGTTAAATCTCATTGAATCTAAAATTTCTTTTTCTAATATAATTAGACCGTTTTAGATTACATAAGAAAACATACCGTGTTAAAGGACACGAGACTAATCGTTTATGGACGATCACTAGGTGGAGCAGTGGCTATTGATCTTGTTTCAAAAAATGAAGACAAGGTATCATCATTCCCAAATGTTGTAGACATATTTTGATTAAATTGAAATTGAAATTGAACTTTCTTAATGAACAAAATAGATAGATGCCTTGATAGTAGAAAACACATTTCTTAGTATTGTAAGTAAATTTACCTTTGTATTAATTTTTAAAGAAAAAAAGCTTTTTAAAAAAAACCTTAAATCATGAATCATCTATTATCAATGTTGCTTCAAGCCCAAGCTTCTTCTGACGTACTTTTATCCAATTCGTTATCTTACCGCTTTCTGTACGCAAATATGGCCATCGGAACTGTCAATATGTGAAATCAAGAAAATTCCAATTTTATTTCTTTCAAGTTGTTGCGATAAAATAGTACCGCAAGAACATATGAAAACTTTATACGAATTGGTTGCAACAAAAGATAAAAAATGGGTGGAATTTCCAAATGGCAAACATATTGATACTTCTCATCAACCTGGATTCTTTGAGGCTATTGAAGAATTTTTGTCAGATGCTATTAAAAAGAAATAATGTCAATTATAATATACAGTATATAGATTTGTACTAGATACTATATATTTACTATGTATACTATTTACATATATTTGTACATTTACATGTATTTGTATATTATTGACGTTTGTATGATTTACATGTATTTTATAAATATATAATATTTTAAACCATTTGAATCATATTTTAAATAGTATAGCGGGCTTTATTGTGATTGGCTAATTTTGTAGCTCGTCGTTTCATAAAAAGTCCTATTAAAGTAACGATTTTCTGCCACAAGATTAAATTTAGGGCCACGAATACGGGTAAGACAAAAAAAATCACGTCTTATTTTATAAACTGTAATAGTAATTCTGTAATCCGCGAAGTAATTCAGAAAATAAATGAGAAGCATTTTATTTCACCTTTAAATAGAGTGTACTTTAACAAAAAAGTTTAGTAGCGAATGAAAGTAAGACTAGTGTTGGCAGGCGAAACTATTTTTGGCAAATGGCAAAAGACGAAACTGGCTAAACTCTGGCGAAACCCCTGGTAAAGTTGAAACCCCTAGGGAAAGTCAAAACTTGGCGAATATGAAATCCTCTAAGACTTTTAAAAAGACTGAGCCATGTTAGTAAATCAAAATATTTTGCATGTGGCTATTGAAAACAGGTGGTTTGGTCACTGAAAACAAACTGATCTTATTTTTAATCAGCAACTGAACGATCATATCGAAAGAGGCAGTTAAATTTGGTGAGCTGATGTTCTAAAACTTAGGTCACCTTTCCTAATACTAAAAGGTGGATCAGTTATCAATTTTGAATGGGCATGGTAATCATAGATTAATCTATGGACTTTGCAAAGATAACTCTACTATGACACTTAGTAAAATATCAGGAGATAATTAAAGAAAGTATGAATTATATAGTAGGATTTATTTAATAAAATAAAGAAAAGTTTTTTTAAAAAATGAACTTGGAAGTTGTTATCTTTTATTTGCCAATACAGTTTTTATTTATAATGATTAGTTTAGATCTAACTTATTACATATATGCTATTTATTTATTTATTTATTTTTTTTTTTAACTAGTCTCTTTTGAAGCTGGGGCTTTTTATTCAGTAATAAGGATAAAGCGACTCACGGCCGAGGCCTCAAAGAATTCACTTTTACATTAGAGAGCTATTTATTTAATAAAACTAATAAAACTAAGATATCTACTAATTTCATAAATATATTAATTTTATTAGTTTTATTAAATAAATAGTATATATGTAATAATTAGATCTAAACTAATCATTATAAATTAAAGGCAAGGGACATGATGACTTAAATTAGATATCAAAATTGTACATGTAACTAGATATAGTCTCTTATGTAAGAGAGCTCTTAGAGGTTTCTGTATCTATATAAACTTAAATAAAAATTATTCTTCAAAGACAGAGATTTTATTTGTAAAAAAAATAATAATAAATAAGTAAAAGACAATTCACTCTAGGCTAAAAGAAGATTAGTAATTATAATTGCAAAAATAATACTAAATACCTAATTCATAATAAAATACAAGTTTATTTTATACAAACTAGTATTTATTGTTAATTACATTACTAACATTACTTATTTGCTCAAAAACAATTAAAATTATAATTTTTTTTTTAGTATTAAGATGATTTCTTTGGTCTTTTGATTTTTATTAACAACTTTTTTGGTAATGTAATTTTATGAACTACTACAAAAGAGTATACAATTGGTTATACATATAACTTTTCTATATTACCTATTTAAAAAGTTCATCTGAAAGTTCTTTATTAATTGGCATATCTAACACCTTTGCTTGGATATTCTACTTTAAACTCTCTGAATTTGCAATCTGTATTAGCATCACTAGGTCATATTCAGATGCTCAGATTACCATCTCAACATTAGAACTATTTTATTCTTAAAATAATTTCTTCAGAGCCTTTTGTACTTATTTTATAACTATCCTAATTATTGTTATAGCAGAACCAACATTTGCAGTTAGAGTTATATCATTTAACTGTTATGTCTTTGTAGAATTCACTTGAACCCTAGCATCTACTTCACAGCATAATTCTAATATTTTAGTATATTTTTGCTTTTTGTTTAGACTCCTAATTCAGATAGTCTATATAGAATTATGATTAGTCTATCAGTATATCAGATTTATCTAATATCTTTTTATATTGGTTTATTCTAGTAATCTGGTTAGTAGTACTTTCAAGTCTTTTCCAATCTAGAGGTTTTTGCTCATCTTAGTATTATGACCTTGGTATCTATTTTCTTGAGTTAACCTTTATAGTAGTACTATCAAAGATCTGGTTACCTTTTTATTCAGGTCTTTTCAAATAGACTTCTTGTTATTCAATTTCAATAAATTTACACAACTATAAGAACTTATCTAGTGTATGCACTATCTAATTGTCAATTTGCATTCTTCTATATAACTATACAGATGCTCTATAATCTGCTAGTTATATTGATATGACTGTTATTACAAGTATTCTAAACTAATCATTACTAACAGTACTATAATATGAATATTATATAAGTAATTATTTAAATTTTTACTATTAATAAAATTTGAACATCTAACTTATCACTTGAAAGATTAACAACCTGATTATTTCACTAGGTCACTACATCTCCTAATTAAAATTATAATTGATCATTTATCTTTTTTAGTATTGTTATTAAAATTTTTATTTTTATGTAATATGTATAGTAATTAATATAAATATAATTAAAATAACTATATTGAGTTTTCTTTATTATAATAGTAGCAAAAAAATAAAAAAGAAGTCTTTTTTAAATTTTAAATAGTTATTATATAAATAAATAGAATAATAAATAAAGTATTTTACAAATAGTATTTAAACATTATAATATAATATAATTTAGAAAAAGATTTGTTAAAATTTTAAACTGTATTCTTATAAACTATAAATGTACTTAAAATATTTTTAACTAATAAAATTGCTAGTTTGGTTAAGTAATTAACTATTTATTTAATAAAAAATAAAATAAAAAAAATAAATATAAGATAAATTTATAATTGCAAATATTAGCTTAATTATAATATATTTTACAAAAACTAAGTTAGTTATATATAGAATATTATAAGTTTTAACAAGTTTTTTATTAAAAATAAAATAGTTTTAAGAATATTAATATATATTAAATACTTTAAATAAGTTTAGTCTTTAAGATATCTTTATAAAACAAGATAAATTATATATATAAAGAATTTAAATAGGCAAAACCTATAGTTGGTTTAAAGATATATATAATCTATATAGTAATATATAGATAAACTATTTAAATTAGGCACCAAAAGTATATATATAACTAGTTGTAATTTTTTATATAAGAAAGTTCTTAAAGGCATTTATGTTTATATAATTTAAATAAAAACATTGCTTTTTAAAGGCAAAGACTTTAATTTAAAAAAAATAAAAAAATAAAAAACTTTAATTTTTTTATTATTTTTTAATTCTTATTAGTTTTGCTATTTTTTTACTAATTTTACTATTTTTTTTGTTTTACTACTTATTAGTAGTTTTATTAGTTGCATTAAATTAATAACAAAGTCTTAATTCACTTTCAAATATTTTTGATAATAATGCTAATTAAGCAAGAAGCTTTAAGCATCTTTTTAGAGCTTGCTTTCATACACCTAAACAAAAAGCTATTTGGCAAGAACAGCTTTTTG